TTTTTTTTTTTTTTTTTTTTTTTTTTTCATTTTTGGATAAGCAGTTACGAGACCTGTTTTTGATGCACTTATAAGTAGAGCAAGCTGACCTCCTATATTGCTATGCTGTGTGGGGCTTGTGCCTGGACCATAATAGTTAACTAATAAATAGCATAATTCTTGGAGGTTCTTGGACTATGGCTGTCAGTGGTGGTCCAGGGAACCATACTCAAGGAACAAGACCCTGTAGGAAGTTTGGAAAAGAGAGAGGCTTCTGCTGATGCTTTCAGTTAGGGAAGCAACCGAAATTGATGATCTAAGAGGTTGAAGTGTATGGAGTTGGTTAATGCAGGATACTTCTTGACAAACCCTGAAGCAATGTTAATTTTTATTCAGCTGTAGAGAGTACTTGATTCTTTTCTCAAGCATTCCCTTTTGTTTTCTGTGTCTTTAAAAAGTAGGAAGCTCTTGCCATTTCAGTCTCTGCTTCCTCTTTCTAGATGCACTGGAGTGTTATGTCACAGCCCAGAAAAGAAACATTATCACTAGTGGCTCCTTTTATGCTAGCAAATTTTAGCCATAGTTATTTTGTACTAAAACCAATAAAAACTGTGAGAAAACACTGAAACTACTTCTGACTTCTCATCTTGCATGTTGCATAGAGCTGGCTTCATGTCATGAGCTGTATATGTGCTATATCAGAGGTTTCCCTGATGGTAAAATGCAGGTTAAACTTGTCATGAGTTATCAGTAGGATGATCTCCTTCAAAACTTCCTTTATTTAGCCGGAAGTTGTGCTGAGCAAGAACAAAGAAAGCTTAAACCAAGCTGGAGGAAGCTGCTTGTCTGTTCTACTGCTTCATTGTACCCTGACTGCCATAAAGTGAAGACAAGTTTGCTTCCCTTATTTTCCCAGTGTTATGTGTAGCGATGCAAAGGAAGAAAATTGATGTAATATTACCACAACTGCTTCTCAGTACACTCTGATGATGCTTACTAACCATAACAGTCCAAAGCTCTCCTTTTTAGACTTAGTGTAAGGGTGGAGATATAATAAAAAATACATAATACAAAACAATGGGTGGAAGCCAGGCAAATTCAATGTAGGAACCAGACACGGCGAAGGTGGTTAATTGTAGTTACCAACTAGCATTGGAGTGTCATTTGGTTCACCCTTCCCCGTTCTGGAACATCCGCGTTAGTCGTGCTCAGGCTACTGTGTTTTGGTAGCAGCGGCAGCTGTACACGGGACACGTAGGTGGTCTGATCATACAGCCTTGAAGTCTCTGAGCAGGCGTTGTGAATAAATACCTGCCAGCAGGAGAGAGTTAGAAAAGGCGGCAAGACCCAGTGTCTAAACTTCATTTAAAATTTTGAGGTGAGAAATGTTTTTTAAATGCACAAAAGTGGCTCGTGTGATACCATTCTCTTTCTTTCTCCTTGACATCCGAGCTATTGGGAGGAGGGGGCAAGGACACCTCGCTGTGCCGGCTTCTGCAAGCCAGGGGTGCGGAAACCGCGCGTGCATTAGAAGCAGCCCGCTACATGTAGATTCAGGCGACAAGCCATGCAGACCACCTGCCGGGCCGGGAGTCTAGGCCGTGCTCACGGAGCAGGTGACATGACTGCGAGACCACCGGGGAAGCCGGCTCGCCCCGCGCGGGGCTGCAGAGGGCGCTGCAGCAGCGCCAGCCTCCAGCCGGGCACTGCGGTGCAGTGAGCCGAGGGGCCGCTAGGCGCCGCTGTCCCGGGCGGGCGGCACCGCCCCCCCCGGCTCCCATCAGCCCCCGCGCCCGCGCGCCCGCACTTCCTCTCCCCGCGCCGCCATTGCGCCGAGGCTGCCTGCGCCACATCATGGTAAGATAATCTGCCGGCATCCTCCGCCGGGAGGCTGCGCCCGAGCGCGGCGGCTCGGCTCGGGCAAGCGGGGGCCCCTGCGGGCAGGTGGGGGCTGGTATGGGCGTGGGGCGGTGGGCGGTAGCAGCTGCTCCAGCTCCTCTCTCTCTCTTCCCCTCCCTCTGCCACCGCAGTCGTCCCACAAGACCTTCAAAATCAAGCGGTTCCTGGCCAAGAAGCAGAAGCAGAACCGGCCCATCCCGCAGTGGATCCGCATGAAGACGGGTAACAAGATCAGGTAGGAGGCGCTGGGGCTGGTGCAGGCCTGGGGCGAGCAGCGCCCTGCGTGGGGAAGCACCAGGGGACACGATGCCTCACCCTGCGCCCCTGTTGGTGGGAGCGCTGGCCGGCTCTGTCAGGTCGCTGGCGTAGGGGGCACCTCTTTAGGGAGAATCTCCTGCTGCACCAGCCTGCAACCAGAGCTGCGCTGGACTTGGCTGCCACGTCTAGCTTGCCGCAGGTGTCTAGAGCTGGTTGGCAGGACTGTGCCACTTTCCCCCGTCATAGACCCTTCCCGCCTTGCGCCCCTTGAAAGGGCTCGGCTTCCTGGGATCTGGTATCAGTGTTGTATGGTTAACCATCGCTGCTGCAGCCTGAAGTGAACAGTGCATGGCACTGAGGGGCTGCTGAAAGAGGGATACAAGGGCAGAGGATTTGTAGCTCTGAATCCTGTCAATGGAAGCGGTCTGTCTTACTAGACCAACTAGATGTTTGCCCCCCCGGCCCAGAAAAACACATATATAAAAAATAACAGCAAGTGTGTAGTTGGTCTAATAAAAGATATCATCTCTGTCACGAGACTTGATTCCTTCTGCCTCTACCAACATGGCTACAATGTAGATACCTGTTGATGGAAGTGGCTGATGGCTCTCGTTTGCGAGCACAGGCCTTGCTGTGTCAGTAATTGGCGAGTGCCAGTTGAGATGAATGATTAAAAACAAGTGAAAACCTTCCAGTTGATACATTCGGTGCATGTTCCTCCCTTGTTTCCCTGGCCTAGTGCTGCAGGTGCATCTTTGCAGCTCCAGTGTGGATGCAGATCTATATTCAGGCCTCTGTGGGGTGGGGGAAGGCCCCACTGTTTGTTTTTCTGCCATGTGCAGAAGTGAGCTCTGGGGTTTTGGCCTCCCGTCTGGTGTACTCGTCCATTCTGTGCTTCCTGATCAGCAGCTAGGAGCTTTGCCAAGGAGATGGGTGCATCTTAAGACCACCTGTTACTCCAGACAGGCAGAGGGTAAAACAGATGGTTCAGGAGACACTGGGGAGCCATTGGGTTAAACAAGGGATGGGTAACCTGTGGCACGCAGGAGATTAGGGAGAGGACAGGCAGCACAGTGGCAGATAGGGCAGGAGCAAAAAGCAGAGCAGCAGTTGGGGTAGGGGAGGATGCAGGGCTAATTTCTGCCAAGTGTGCTACAAAACTTGGCCCCCACTGAATTAAACTCTGGTCACTTCCTTTCCTTTCGGTAGTCCCATTTTACTTGGTTGTCACTGTTACCAAGCTGTAAGTTTAGGCACCTTGTCCTGGTAGGGCTGCCCCCAGCCTAGAGGTTAGCTTTGCTTCAGTAAAAAAAAAAAACTCGTGGAAGAAAAACAGTCGCTGTACTACAGCCCTGTGGAGACCAAGCGTGCTCTTGCCAGTTCTGGCTTCCACTGCCAGCATACTTATTTCCCCCTCTGAGCTGGGATTTGTGATGAAAGCGAGAAGCCAGATGGCTGGGTCGGGTTTGTAGCACTATTTCTAACGTGCTCTGGTTTTAAAAGCCACTCTGCTGTACCTCAGTATTCCCATTTGTGAAATGGGCGCAGCAGGACCTTGCCGCCTGTGGTGTGGGCTGTTCAGGATTACTGTTACTAGCATGCCTTGTGCTACTTGATTGTAAGTGCAAAATATTTGGTTTGGTTTTCCAGCCCTTGGTACACGATAATAATTAGTCCCCTGCCCAAAGCATTTGCCAAAGCAGGCTGCAATTACAGTGCTTCATTCTGTGGGAGTACTGCCATTTTTCCTGCTGAGAGTAATTCTGTTAATGTTGTCTTTGATTTCACCTATGCCTTGGTGAAACCATCAATCTTTAACATGTACAAGTCTGTTATTTTATAGCCTTAATTACACTAGTTTGTGAATGAATGCTCTAGTGGATTTCCTGGGAGAAGTACTCTTGTGTTCTCATGCCAGAGTTGGCAATGGGAGTTTTTATTCTGCTAAAAATAGTATTGCTTGCTGATTGTGTTAATGCTCCAGTCTGCTGCTGCCAACTTCAGATGCATGGTTTCCTGAAAGTGGTGTGGTGTCCTGTGTACACGGGCTCAGTGCAGGTGTGCCTCCTTGGGAACCTAGACTCTTCTCAAAATGCTGAGTTTGTTTATGCTGGTTCTAATCTAAAAATCTCTTCCACACTTCCACTTCTTTTAGAGATGGAATTTGAGTTATTTTCTGTCAACTTAATTAGCAAGTTGTCAAGCTTCTTACAGCTGGGTGAATTCTGCCGGCCATTGTGTCAGCAGTAATACAGAGGCTCCAGTGTGTCTTGCTTACTAATGATGTGCTTTTGTTCTAGGTACAACTCCAAAAGGAGACACTGGAGAAGAACCAAACTGGGCTTGTGAAAAGAATAGACACTCTAATGAGAACTCTAATGGCACAGCACTCTGTTAATGACCACAACTTGCTAGAAAAAAAACACCGCTGACCTACTTTGAAGGCATGAACCTTGTCAACTTTTTAAAAAACAAAATAGTCCCAAAACAGGATGGTCAGAGGCATTTTGGAACCGTTACAGCTGAAAAGTGATGCCCTGGTGTTCTATTAGTGTTCTTTTGTTCAACGCTCATATACGTAGTGACTGAATTTGTATGGTGTCTTTACAGGTTTGTTAATAAATATGAGCTTTAATGGTTTTGGCTGGCTTTATTTAAGACACCACAATGTATGGAGGAGTGGATAAACCTGAAAAGTAGGAGCTGTTACGGGAGCATTCATCGCTGTGGAAAGTAGTTCTGTCCATTGCCTGCAACCAGCAGACACAACTAGTATCCCCCTCTGGTACCCTTTCGCCACCTTTACCTGTAAAAAAGCAAAGCTCATAACCCAGGCTTTAAAAGAAAAGGTGAGCAACTGCTTAGAGATGGCTGCCCTTGTGAGAGCTACTCCTGCAGAATGTGAAGAGGATCCCCTATGAATAGGTAAAATAGCACCACCTTTTGGAAACAGTGATGCATACAAAACCCACCAGGTAGTCCTCAGCCTGATACTCTGCCCTGTGATCTTTACAGTATGCATCCTGCCTTTGGCATACTGCTTGCTAACGTTCACAGCTGCTAGGATGGGTTTGTCATCATGATGTATTTTGACAACTCTTGTACACAAAGGGCTAGATTTTATCAAAGGAGTGTTGGTTGTAGCCGTGTTGGTCTAAGGACATAGGCAAGGTTTTTTGGGTAGATGTGATATTAGACCGACTAAATAGTTGGAAAAAAATTCTTTGCAAGCTTTTGGACACACACCCCCTTTTAAGGGAGTCTCTCACTGCCTGAAGAAGGGTGTTTGTGCCCAAGAGCTTGCAAAGAACTTTTTTCCAACTATTTAGTTGGTCTAATAAAACATCACAGCTACCCAAAAAAAACCTTGCCTACCTAGATTTTTCAAAGGTACTTAGGCATGAAGAGATGCAGCTGGTGTTTCAAGCAGGTTCTGAGGGTGAGTTCTGCAGGGGGACACTGTATATTTTCCAAGTTGCCAGAAATAAAACAAGCCAAATATAGGGAGAGAATAAGGTAGAACAGCATGTGCTCAGTCACTGCTTTTAGTGTTTCACTACTAAACAAGTTCTGTGCTGCAGACCCAAGAAAAACATATATAAAGTAGGGTTGGAAGGGATATGAGTCCAACCCCCTGCTCAAAGCACAATCATCTCTTTTTAAAAAACATCCTACATTTATGTGTATTTAACCTGTTTTTAAACTTCCAAGGATGAAGTGTCCACAGCCTCTTTAGGTAGCTTGTTGCAATGTTTAACTACCTTCAAAGTGAGGAATTTCTTTCTAACATCTACCCTAAGTTTTCTTTGTGCAATTTATGACTATTCCTGCTTTTCCTGTTCCCTGTGACCACCAAGAATTGTCTCTTACCATCCTCTTAGGATCAATTCAGGGCATCATATTACAAAGTATTTTTGCATAATATTGAGAAGAAACATCTTCTGCAGTTAATGTATTATGAAGAGTATTTCATATACCCATTCTAAACGCATTTTCTAAGATGTCTAGATAAATATATATTTATCTGTATTCATTGGTATAATCAAAATCTTGTTTATTATGTGTTGGTTTTAGGAAGTTACATTCTATAATTCCAACTACACCAACACCCATGTTGTTTGCCTGTAAGATTAAAACATAAATACAGGAGGAAGAGAGAAAAGAGAGAATTTTTATACTGAAGCATTTTTTTCTGCTTCCAAGGAAGACTGCTGGCAGTTTGGATTTAACACATGCGTTCATCTAAACTATAACTTCATCAGAAAAGAGTATGTGCCAGATATACAGAATTTTGTCAGATGGTTCCTCTTAAAACAGTGGAATTATTTTCATTTTGTACTTGCCCTGTCCTTCCCTTGCCCTAGTAATGACAGCCATACACTTTGCAAATTAACATTAACTCTGAAATAAAGAGGATGTGTTAAGGAAACCAGGCCTAGTTATGGTTTCCTTTTCCAGTTGCCAGATTTAGCACTGGTATTAGATAGCCTGTAACTCCCAAGATTTAAAATGGAGTGTGTGATTGTGTTGATGACTGCAAGAAGGGGAGCTATCTTTCCAGTTAGGGTGTTAGGTAAACTCAGAGCTACTCCCACCTTTTGCTTTGCTCAGCTGTCAGCAGCTAAGTGATGGTGCTAGTTATTAATCCACATTCATTTTTAATTATGATACACTTAAGAATGGAGGAGTGACAAGTATAAGGGAATACACAAACATACAAAATCCCTTACACTTGCATTCTGCACTAAGACCTTGAGAGATTAGCCAGCACCTTTTATGCAAGGAGCACAGTACTAGGAGATTTTCTGGCAGGGATACAAACACAGGGAGGTTATGAGTCAATGGCAGCACTTACTTCACCCACTCCTCCACACCAGCTTGAGCAGGGCATGTATTCTGCTTAGCGCAGGACATTATTGCAGCTTTGAATCATCTGTGAAGGGGCTGAGGCAAAGCCCATCCTGCTACTGAATCCAGCCCGTGGTACTTTTTATGGGGAAAACCAGGATCTGCTACAGTTCATTTCCTTGGTGGGTAGCAAGCTGCTTTCTGAGGTTTCAAAACCTTGGTGTCACATCCTGTGGGGTTTGCAGAGCTGTTTGTCACTTCTCAGACAAACAGGTGCAGTCAACCTTGCTTTAACTTCCTTAGTGTGGGAAACAGAGTGAATGCAGCAGAGCTGTGTGAGCTGAATTAAGCCACATGTTTTACTTAGGGGCTTACTAGCTGGTTGTCTTGCACAGTAGCCTCTTTTTGCTCAGACCTGAGGAAGGGTAATCAACTGCACACTTGATTTAATAAAAGATACTGCTGAAAGAGCCTTGTGTCTCCCTTCAAAGCCATTTAAAAAAATTGGTTACCAAAGGGAAGTGAGGACAGCCTTCTGTAGCAGCCTCCATGTCAGTAATATCCTTCAGCAGTTTCCTATGGCTGTCTGACAGTCTAGTTCCTCGAGTGTGCAATGTGCCACAGGACAGGAGCTAGAGGCCTTGAGAAATGCTTCAAGGAGGCCACATATTGCAAGCATTCTTACTTGTGTTTTTAAAGGCATCTTTTGTAAGAAGTGTGTCAGGAGTGCTGTGTCTGAGCACCAGATACACAAAGGACCCTTTATGGCATTCCCTCTCTGCCTTGTCTCACAATACCCCAAATTGCCTCTGGATCTTAAGGGGGTTTTTTTTCCTCTCTTCACAAGCACAACTCCTGAAAGTGCTGCTCTTTGAGGCAAGCAGCTGGATGATGTGCGACTTCAGGCTGAAAATCAGCCCTCTTAGAGCTAACAACCCAGAACCATGCTCTTCCCTAAACCACTGCAGGTATGAATAGTGAATGCAAATGAGATCCAACGGCATAAGCTGCTGGTTGTGACAATCAAGGCTTGGATGACACAGAGGCAATTTACAGCTCTGAGCTTGGAACTAGACAATCATTTTATAAAGTCTGTGTGATAATGGCCCTCCAGGCAAGAGGTTAAATTGATTTATTTTCTCTTTGCTGCTGCTGTTTTATTTGAAACAGTCACTGGTAACTTCCAGCAGGAAGCTATATTTTCTGTAAAATAACACATTATATTTATTTACCGGAAGCACTGTAAAGACTGAATCTTCCTCCTGGTTCAATAGCCCAACTTCAAGAGGCAAAAGTGATTAAAAACAGCCCCAAACTTTTGCAAAACCTGAACCACTAGAGAAAGTTTGTGTTTAAACAGTAACTGTTCTCCAGTGGTTGCTTGTCTTGCTTTTTAAGCATCTTTCCAGGTTATTGAGATTGTGGTATCCTTGGGCAGCACCAGGAAATTGGGGCTGAGGTTTAAAAAATGATGCAGAGATTTCAGGTGCCCATTTCCCACATTGGTAATGCAAATAAGGTGTCCACACCTCCCTGACAGCTTTGAAAGTCTGTCTTAATACACACTAGAAACTGACCCCTCTGTATCTGTGGTAGTGAAAAGCCGAGAAGTAAATGAGTTGTGTTCATCTTAGCCAGGGCTCTGATAATACAAGTGAGGACTTTTTTTTTTTTTAATTTCAGTCACTAGACCAGAGGTGTCAAAGATATAGCCTCTGGGCTGGATCCAAAGCTGACCCATGTGCTGCACATAGCATGGACCAGACTAGCCCTGCCTGCAGGGCCCAGGACCCACAGTGCCCGCTCCAACCAGCCTGGTAGTCCACCGACTCCAACCAGCCAGGGTGGGCAGCAGATGTGCTGGATCTGGCATACAGTGCTGGGAGGGTCCATGGGACTGGTCCAGCTCATGGACCAACTCTGTACCACTCTCCCAGCCCAAACGCCAGATGAGTTGGATGCCCCTGTTCTAGAGACGTAAAACATGCTACTGAGACTTCCAGACCTCGGATCACTAGAGGTGCTGTGGGGCTCCCAGAAGCAGAATAAACAAGGGAAAGGGAGATATACCGTCCATTGAGAATTCTTTCTCTGGAACTTGTAATTCCACCGTGTTTTTTTACTTTACAAGTCCAAGGCTTAAGTGTGTTGTAATGTCACTAATAGTAAATGCAGCTCTGGTTTTGCTTTTTTTGAAGTCCAGAATGGGACTGTGCAGAACGTGGCCCCAGACCCACAGGGAAAAATGCCTTCAGCAGTGGGAGGGAGGCCTGTTCAGCATCATGTCACTGGGTTTTTCAATCCATTTTGGATGAACTCTTACAGCTGCTGTCTGAGATTCGGTCCTCAGCAAAGTTAAGACTGGCTGGGCTCTGTCAAATGAGCCTTTGCTTGAGTTCCAGAGGAACCAGGAACTCCTTCAGTGTAAAATCTCCCTCTTGCCTTTGTTTACACTGCTTGCTCAGAGAACCCCATCACCATAATGATCCCATGTCCCCCCTCCTCGGCAGCATGCTTTTACTCCTATGGGGAGTAACTCAGATCAGAACTGTTTAGGAAAAGCATAGCTTTTGTTTGTGCTATCAGCCGCACCTTTCCTTCCCCAAACCTGATTTACTTAATTATTTTGTCAGGATTTTTGTACCAGTCAACTACTTCTGTTTAGAAACAGATGTAGGGAAATTGCTGCAGCCCTCTTAAGGTGAACACTTCTCTGCTAGCATGCAGGCACAACGTCGGTGGGCCATTCTTTCCCTTATACTAGATCTGTTTCTACATCATTATAGTTAAAG